AGCAGTCCTAGGTTGGTATCCCAGTCACTCAGTCTTTCTGTCTGTCCGTCCAGCAGTGACCCTGTTAACCCCATTCCCCTCCAGAATTTCCTCATTAGAGTAACGAGCATTTGGACGCCTTTTTCTCTGTGGTGTTCAGATGCACCTCCCGACCTCCTGCACCCTGGAAACACAGAGACAATTCTATATTAGACAGGATTATACTGTACTGTACCACAGTCAGTATCAGTCTACAGTACAGGCAGTATCAGTATCAGTCAGTATCAGTGTACAGTACAGGCAGTATCAATCACTATCAGTACAGGCAGTATCTGTGTACAGTACAGACAGTATCAGCCTACAATACAGTCAGTATCAGTGTACGGAACAGGCAGCATCAGTCAGTATCAGTCTACAGTACAGGAAGTATCAGTATCAGTCAGTATCAGTGTACAGTACAGGCAGTATCAGTATCAGTCAGTATCAGTGTACAGTACAGGCAGTATCAGTATCTATCTGTATCAGTCAGTATCAGTCTACAGTACAGGCAGTATCAGTATCAATCTGTATCAGTCAGTATCAGTGTACAGTACAGGCAGTATCAATCTGTATCAGTCAGTATCAGTCAGTATCAGTACAGTGACTACAGTACAGTACAGTATCAATCAGTATCAGTACTACAGCACAGTCAGTACTCAGGGAGTGTTGCTCCCGGTACTCACTGGTCTCTTCCCGGTCTTCAGCAGGATATCCCCAGCCAGAGCGATGAACGCCTGGAGAGAGCAGGGACAGTGTGAGGGGCAAAGGTCACATCTGGACAGGCGGACAGACAGACGGCTGCCAGCTGGACACTCACCTCCTCCACATTGATGCTGGACTTGGCGCTCGTCTCGAAGAACCGGATTCCGTGATCCTTGGCCAGCTGCAGACACAGCAGTGTTGTTACTGTACTACCGCACAGTCAGACAGACACAGCAGTGTTGTTACTGTACTACCGCACAGTCAGACAGACACAGCAGTGCTGTTACTGTACTACCGCACAGTCAGACAGACACAGCAGTGTTGTTACTGTACTACCGCACAGTCAGACAGACACAGCAGTGCAGTTACTGTACTACCGCACAGTCAGACAGACACAGCAGTGCTGTTACTGTACTACCGCACAGTCAGACACACAGAGCAAAGCCACTGCCGACATGCTGAGCTGTGACTGGACATGGTCTGATAAGTCTCACCTTTTCCCCCGTTTCCTTGGAGACCTTCCTCTTGGCCTCAATGTCACATTTGTTGCCAAGCAACATCCTGCTGACCCCTGCTGAGGCATTCTGGGAATAAAAGACGAGAGTCAAAGCTTGCAGCTTGTTGGCTCACCCTCTCCTCTACCCTTGTATCCCTCTG